TCTTGGTTATTCGATTTGGGATTTCTGATTTCTGTTATGGGTGTTCGTCGATTTCTTCTGATTCTTGGTTATTCGATTTGGGATTTCTGATTTCTCAAGTGGTGTTCATCAGTTCATGGATTTCTTTCGTTTCTTGAGATGGGATTTCTGATTTCTGCAAATGGGTGTTCGTAGATTCTTCTGTTTCTTGATGATTTGATTTGGGTTTTCTGATTTCTGTAATGGGTGTTCATCGATTCCTCTGTTTCTTGACCATTTTTCAAAATTGAAGTTCTTTTGTGTCTAAATTCATCTGGGTTTTCTTGTTCTTGAATCATGGAAGAAGAAGATCAAGAACAGAAGTGTTATGTCTGCAAATTCTGTAATCAAAGTTTTCTAAATGGGAAGAAATTGGGAGGTCATATGAGAGGTCACTTGGCTTTGATTTCAGCTACCAAAAAACAGAGCATCAAAGAACATGATCAAGAAGCCATTAATGGTGGAATGAGTCTTGAATTCAACGATGAAATGATCAAGAAAAAAGAAGATTTTGGTCCTAATTCTTATGGTTTGAGAGAAAACCCCAAGAAATCTTGGAGGGTTTCGGTTTCGGGTTCGAAATCGAAACCGAATCGATCATCGGATTCGATTTGTAAGCAATGTGGAAAAGGGTTTCTTTCATTGAGGGCTCTTGCAAGCCACATGAGATCCCATTCACTCAAAAGCAAAGAATCCATCAAGAAGAATTTGTGTGGAAAATGTGGGAAGTGTTTTGATTCAGTGAAGGCTTTGTATGGTCATATGAGATGTCATAGCCATACAATCAATAGATCTCAGCCATCCATTTCATCATCATCATCATCATCATCATCATCATCATCTTCTTCATCATCATCAGAAGATGGCAAGTTGGATGGGGGGGTAAAAGGGGAAATTGCAAATCCAATAAGGAGAAAGAGATCATGCACAAGGTACAAGCCTGTAAAGCCTAATGATCCTTCAAGTTGTAATAGTTTGAGTTCTTTCGCATCAATTTGCGAGGATAATGGTGATGAAGTGGAAGAAGGGGCTTTGTGTTTGATGATGATCTCCAGGGGCATAATGGGGATTTCCAAGAAAGAAGTGATGGGTCAATCCGGGTTCGGGTTCGGGTTCGGGTCGGGTCAACCCATAATGGATCTGACAAAGAACAATCCAAAGTCAAATAGTCAACACTCTCCGGACAAAGGTAAGAGAAAAGCTTTTGATGAACTATGTGATACAAGGAGATCGAAGGATCACAAATGCCCCATTTGCTCTAAGGAGTTTGGGTCGGGTCAAGCTTTAGGAGGCCACAAGAAGGCGCACTGCAATATGTTAATAAGTACCGAAAACGGTGTTAAAGAAGATACTGATGATTCGTTTGACGTTCATGAATGTTTGGATCACGGTCATGGGATCAAGAACGACGGTGTGGAGTTGAAGCTAACGTGGGTCGGGAACAATATCGAGTGGGACCCATTGTTGTTGGTAAACTGAAATTTTGCTAGCATCTTCATTTCTTCTTTTGAAAAAATTGAATGAAAGATGTAAACGTACTTGAGATTTGATTGAAGATGATTTGTTTGTTCGTTTTAATAGAAAAAATAAACCATTAAATTTTGGACACAATGGACAGTTATGCCCACGGTTCTATTATTTCCCCAAATATTTGCAATTGCACCATGTGACAGACATTCCACCATGCCCGTCGCTTACAAGTCATTTTCCGTTTGCAATTGTTGGTCATGTGACGGACTTTGTCATCAATTGGGGATTTTACAGGGTGTATTTGTTATTTGGTAAACGTATTACATAATGAGCCATTCAGTTGCTAATTATGGATAACAGAGTGATAGATGACCTCCTTAACTTGCATAATTTATGTCATCTCCATTTAGCATATTTTTCCGAACAAGCGTATCCCAAAAGTTGGATTCCTGTGAGACAATATGAATGAATCCAGCGAAATCATAGCGACTCTTTTTTGACGACGATGCTCCCACTGTAGGTTGACAATAGTGTTGTATTTCACTTGGATAAGCTCTTGATTATTAAACCTCCCGATTCTTTACGCGCACAAAAGTTGCTCCTGGCGTCAAAGACTTTCCAGCCTAGTGGTAAAGGCTTGGGCATGACATAGTCATGAACCCAAGTTCGAGCCCTGGGAAGGGAAGTGTTGACGACATTTTAAGTGGGGCCATGTTTAACCTCCAAAATTGTCGGGGATTAGTCGGGCTTTGGCCCGGACACCCTTAAAAAAAAAATTGCTCCTGGCCACTTCAGCTACACTCGCTTGGTATCATTATAAAACCATTTTTATAAGCTTTTCAATATCTTTAATCGTGGCTACTGTCAAGATGAAGAACCGAGGCCCGGTACACTTTCATGGAATATAACACTGAAATCTTGAGTTGCACAAAGTCACAAACGAGAGGGGTTTCAACTCCGACATGAACATTAAGGGGTCGTTTACCAAATACTTACCCGGTAAGTGCTACCGGTAAAATTTAACACTGTAAGATTTTAGTCCACCAAAACGACATCGCATGTAACAATTTACATGGTAAGCACTTACCGTGGTAAGAGTCGTCACTCTCACTTACCGGGTAAGACTCTTGGTCCTTGTCTCGTTCTTATCGGGTAAGATTATTGGTCTGTACCATATTTATCCCGTAAAGTAATTTAACTTGATAAACGCTTACCCGGGTAAGCGTTTGGTAAACGGCCCCTAACATAATAACTAAATTTAATATATATCATAAATATAATATATAATTTTTAATTAAATAAATTAAGAATATATAAATATCAAATTTGAAACATAAGTAGAAAATTTAGGGGAATTTGCATTTCAAATTCATTCAAATCTCATATTTGGTTTGTTAGATTGTCCGGATTTGAAATTATAAGATTTAAATGAAATCCTTCAAACATAGGATTTTGAAATCCTTAGGTAGTGCTCGAGATTTTGCAGGATTGTATGCAATAAGGTTTTAAAAAATGTTAAAAACATTTGCTTTGAAATAATGATTAACAAAAATGTAATTCAATTATTTTTAAAACTATTTATAATTTTTTTTATAAATTATATATAAATAATGAAATTCAATTTTATTTCAAATCCTATAAACCAAACACACCAACGATTTCAAATTCATTTCAATCCAAATCTCTCCAAATCCAAATCACGTCATAAAATCTTTAGAGTTTGTTTGGTTATCTCTTAATAGTTGCATTAAGAGGTAGTTTCTAAACCGTTAAGGGTGCGTTTGGTACGCTGGACAGGATGGGACAGGACAAGACAGAACACATTTGTCCTGTGTTTGGTGTGGCCTAATATTGGACTAAGTGAAACTAACTTGGCTAAAACTTGGACACGCGTGTTCCATCCTACCCCCCTGGAACTAAGTGGAACACAACCTATTTCCCTCATTACCCTTTTCCCACCCGGCTGCAAGAAGAACGACTTTTTCACCGCTCCATCGTCTCGATCGATTCCTCTTGTCGACTGCCGGCGAGTTCCAATCGACGACGAGTTTCAATCGACGGCCTCCATCGCCTCCATCGCGTCTCTTCTCTCCATACCCAGGTACGCAATCGATTGCGTCTCTTCTCTCCATCGCCTCCATCGCCTCCATCTGTGTGTACGCAATTGATTCTAGGGCTCTTGTTAATTTATGTGGGTTTTGATGATGATTAATTTCTTATGTTAATTTCTGTGGGTTTTAATTTCTAGGGTTCTGTGGGTTTTGATTCTAGGGTTCTAGGGTTCTGATGGGTTTTCAGCTCCTGCACTGTCATTATCAGTTCATTTTAGATTTGTATACAAAGATAAATTTCAGCTCCTGCACTGCCATTATCACAAATAAGTGCAGCCACAAGTTCATCTTAACATGTCATTATCAGTTGCATTTTAGATTTCCATTTAGATTTGTATAGTTTAGCAATTGCATTTTCTCTTGCTAGAAGCATGCCAAGCCTATACTTTAGTAGTTGCATTTAGATTTGTATACTTTAGATTTCCATTTATTATATTGATTATTTAGAGAAAAAAACACTAAACAGGTTACTGGGGTAAATTGGTCATTTTAACATGTCCTGTCCTGTCCTGTYATGTCTTACCAAACGCTGAACACCTGTCCTGTCCTGTTCTGTCCTGTCCTGTCTTGTCCGCGCACCAAACGCACCCTAAGAGATGAATCGTGTTTGTCAAAAAAAAAAAAAAAAAACTGTCTCTTAATGGTTCTAAAACATCTGAATAATTTTGTATGATGTGTCTCCTCTTAACCATTCAACGCCCTAGTTTCATTGTAAACAATTACCAAAAAATTATATTTCATTTTGCACTATATCATAAAATCTTCTTAATCGTTCTGACCACTTAATCATTTTACACCAAACCATTCAACATTTGTCAAACAGTTCATAAATCTCTCAAAGACAAACCAAACGGACCCCTAATGTGATTTCAGATTTGACATTACATTAAGAATTAATGGTTGATTGAATCTTGAAATTAGAAAGGTCAAACGGTCAACCTCGATTATTCACCAAATTTCCCAACACGCTTTTGACAAAAGAGCAATACTCTTTCAGAAATATCAGTTTTTGTCGATACGATTTTGAAAATACAAAATGATCATCGTGTTTTATAAAAACGTCTGAATTTGTTCTGTTTTTTTTAATAATCATTAAAAATTATATAAAATGTAAAACATTTTCGTCATTTTTTTGATTTTTTATTTTTTACCTGATCAAATTGATTTTATGATTTTGGTCCATGTGGTTTTTGATCAGATAAAAGATAAAAGAAAATGATAAAAAAAAACGAAAATGTCTCTCCTATAATATCGTTAAGGGTTTTCACATTGGACTATTAAGGGTGTGTTTGGTACGTATACATGATATGACAAAACGTGACAGAACAAAACAAAAAAATTATTCAACGTTTGGTAAGATAGAACTTAATAGAACAAAACTGATAAAATGATCAATTTACCTCTGATGAGTTGTTTAGTGTATTTTTTTATCAAATAATCAAATTAAATAAAAATTAACAAATAATATTTAAAAATACAAAAAATCTAACATAAATAGTAATTAATTAATTTTTAAGTATATAATATTTATATACGACAAATGCAACAAATAAACTCACACACCCTCATCACCTTTGATGAGGTTTAAACCCTTGACCTCCTAGAAAGCCAAAAACTACGATACCGCTAGATTAAATACCCTTTAGTTAGTAATTAAAAAAAATTAAATTAAGAAAATTACACCAAAACACAATAACTTTTGAAAAAAAATTATTTGATACTAATAATATATATTTTTTCAAAATTTTATAATATTTTCAAATTTATATTTTATTCAAAAATAAAATATTATCGCTTTCTCAAAATCAAATAAAACCGTATCATATCGACATAAAAAAATAATAAAATAAAACACTGAAATCAAGATATGTCTCAATGCATTACACGACTACCCTTCTAGTTAATTAATAAAGTATTAAAAATACGTATTTTTTAAATTATATATTTGTATATGATTTCCAAATATTTACACTTTATACATTTATAAATATTTATTAAGTTTTTTTTTTACCTTTTCATTTTTATTTTATACCCTTATTATATTTATATAATTACGGTCCCATAATTAAATAAAAAGATATTCAATATTTGGTTCATTTTAAAGGTATCGACGAGACCATTATAATAATGTAACTTGTTAAAATAAAAATGTATTTTAATTAATATACGATTATGTATGTTAATTAATAAAAATGTTAAATGAAAAAAAATGAAAAAGTAAGTATATAAAATAAATTAAATAAATAACTATAAAGATATAAATTGTAAGTAATATAAATAATTTAGTTTTTATAATATTTACTAATATGATTAAATTAAACAAAATTAAATATTGACACATTTTAAAGATATTGACGAGACGATTATAATAGTGTAACTTGTTAAATAAACGTATTTTTAACGTATTTTAGTTAATTTATTATTATGTATGTTAATGTGATAATGATGTAAAACACAAAATAAAAAAACAAAGAGATATACCATAATTTATATAATTAACTACAAGTGTATAAAGTGCAAATATTAAAAATATATTTTTTGGAGTATATATGGTATAAAAATATAATAGATCAAAAAATAATCAATATTGAACTCGTTTCGAAGGTATTGACGAGATAATTATAATGGTGTAACTTGTTAAAATTATAACATATTTTTTTAGTTAATATACGATTATGTATATTAATATAATAAAGGTGTAAAACGAAAAATTTTAAAAAAATACGTAAAACAAAATAAATGAAGTAACTATGAGAATGTAAAGTGTAATTTTAAAATTAAAAAATATATTAAAGAATTGTTATATGAGAGAAAGATGATGATCGAGGAGGTATGAAAATTGACAGAAAATTAACAATAGCAATTAAGGATGGTGATTTATCCTGATCCGGTAGAGAATCCAGTTCACCCGACTCGAATGAGAATAGAGATTCTTCGCTAAAACGGGTTATGGGGATTCCCGATATACTCAAACCAACAAATATTCTTCATGGGGTTTGACAAGACACTGACTATTAATCCCGGTATCCGTCGGAGACTAGGGCTGGGACCAGGGATTACAAAACCCGCCCCATCCTCTCCCCGTTGCCATGCCTAATAGCAACCCCCCTTTGTCACCAATTAAACAATAAAACATATATTTTTATTTGAACATCGAAATAAATTTTTTTTTTGTAACAAGAAATACATTATTAATCATACAAATGCATAATCGAATGAGAATCACAAAAAATACTGAGAACCATTAATCATGTGTTGTTTTACAATGTGAAACAAAATACACATTATAAAACAACATCTTATTTTTACGGACGTTGTTTCATCATATAAAACAACATATACATACATACATATATGTATATATATATATAGTATTTTTAAATCTCAAAAAAAAAATTAAAATTGCATAACTCTTAGGTTGCGTTTGGTATACAGATATGATAGAACTGTATATGACTGAGTAGGATAAGAGGGTAGAATTGGACAATACTGATTTTTTAGGTTTTGTTTATGATTATTTCTTTAATTATATAAATTAAATGTAAAATTAAAATGTTATAATTTATTTTAAAGGAAAAATAACAGTAGATCCGGACCAATGAGAGCCCGTTTTCAAGAACTTGGGAAAGGAAAGGCTCATCTCTCTCTCTCTCTCTCTCTCTCTCTCTCTGATCCATGGGAGAGAAAAGTCAATCATCAATGAACAAATCTATACAAGGATTCTGTTTTAATTGCAGACAGATGCAGGTTTAGATTCCTAGATTCCTAGATTTAAGATATGTATGTGGCGTTTAAACCCCTAATTTTGGGCATTTTTTGAATGAAATCAATCCAATGCATTGGTGTTTGACAAAAAGATTGAATTATTTGATTAACATTAGAATCGAGTGTGAATCTAGATTGTGTCATTTGTGTGGATCTGATTGTGATGAGAACGCTTCCGGAAAGATTATTGTATACGTTAGAGAGGATCAATTGGAGGGGGTTCGACGTCGGTGGCGCTAGGGTTTTTATGTTTAAGAAGAAATTAGGGGATCATTATGCAGCTACACTTCTCACATAGCATGAGAAGTATAACGATATCGAGCAACAATGGGTTTACTGACTTGATGAAGATCAAAGTCGCAGCTCGCCATATTTCTTATCGTACTATATTTCATACCATTCTCATCCTCGCTTTCTTATTGCCATTTGTTTTCATCCTCACTGCTCTTGTTACCTTGGAAGGTGTCAACAAGTGCTCATCAATTGGTACGCCACTAACTTTTGTCTGTCAATCATTTCTTGATCTGCTTTTTCATATCAATATCTTTTACTTAATATGTGTTTCATGTGAATTTGAGATTGCGTGTAGATCTTGATGTCTTTCTATTATTGTTGTTAATGTTTCTTGATTGCATCAGTGAAAACTAGAACTGAACCTGGTATCACCCTGGTGTTTCTGGATCTTGGTTCAATTATTTGGCATTGTCATACTTCCGATAGTAGTTTTGGGTGGATTTTGGATTTGTTTTCTAGTTCATTAGAAGTATCTGAGGATTTAGTTAAGTTGCCAATCTGAATTTACTTTCATACTTGCTGTGGGTGCTGGCTTTTGACAGTTTTATCTTTATAAATGCTATCTATATCTACACTTAATGCTTCTAATATAGCATTTCTCAGACAGTTACTCATTAATTAGATCTTTCATGCATCAGATTGTTTAGGCAGGCGTTTGGGACCAAAGCTTCTTGGGAGGGGTGATGATGCAGATGTAAGATTACTAGTTCATATTGTCTTTTTCAATTTTCAGTGTGGAACTGCTGGTTTTTGTCATTTTTATTGTGTCAAAGGCCATATATATCTAGCATTTTAAACGTTTTCATTCTGGTGAACAGAGGTTTCTTAGAGACTTCCATAAGATCATCAGTCAAGTGGAATCTGAAGAAGTCCCAGATGATCTAAAGCTTCCTGATAACTTTAAACAGCTTGTTTCAGAAATGAAAAGCAACAAATACAAAGCCAAGGATTTTGCACTTATATTGAAAGGAATGGTACGTCAACTCACTGTTTTTATATTGTATACATGTTTTAGCTGTTGTTATGTATACCATCTTTTAATAAAAATTAGTATTGTTTTGCAACCCTTAGCATGTTTGGTTTATCATCTTGTAATAAGAATTAGTATTGTTTTGCAACCCTTAGCATGTTTGGTTTATCCTAAACTCTACTGTCTAATTACTATAAATATACCTCCGAATGTAATGAGACTGGATCATTTTGGTTATTTTTCTTAAGCTAATATGCGGGTTGTCAGGAGATATTGTTTTGGTTACTTTTTCTAAATGTATTGTTGCATGATTGGTGGATTGTGTTCCTGCGGTGAACAAGTGCTTGTCAGGGAACACTAATCTTAGGATATCCTTTTACAGTGTCCAAAAGTTATGAACCTACTTCCGAGATTAATAAAGCATGCCATCTAGAACACCTCTACATCATATGAGAACCAGGGGACAAAATTGACGCGCCTCTAAATAACTAAAATGTTTTATCAGTCATATACTTGTAAGGAGTAAAGTATCTCTGCAATTTGCTTCTTTATGCTTATGTATGGGGTAGATGCATTTTATCGATGTTCCACGCCTTTTCAATGTAGAAATCTAGATGCTACGTATCACTTCAAAATCATGTTATAATTGTATTTAACTTTCTCTGAAAGTCTTACTCTATAGGGAGTCCGGTGCAAGAAATGGCCATTTTTACGGTAGCCTTGAACTATATCCACTAAAGATAGGGTATGAATGCAATAATACTTGCTTTTTCTAGACATTCGCTAGACTAATTCTTTTGTTTTCCTTTGCTGCAACGTGTTATGTTCTTTTTACAACAATGGAGGTTGCCTCTCAATGTTCTGACTGTAAATGATGAGAATATTCACCATGTTTTAGTTTCTTTTTTCTTTTGTGACTTCTATACTGTATATACTTTGTTTATGCATATTTATAGGCCTAAGATTTTTTATTGAACCTTGACAGATGGAAAGATCTGAGAGGGAGATCAGAGAATCTAAATTCCAAGAACTAATGAACAAACACTTCGCAGCAACTTCTGTTCCCAAAGGCATCCATTGTCTCTCTTTGCGATTGACCGATGAGTACTCTTCTAATGCTCATGCACGAAAACAGTTGCCTTCACCAGAATTACTCCCAGTTCTTTCTGATAACTCCTACCACCACTTTATTGTGTCTACTGACAATATCCTGGCAGCTTCCGTCGTGGTCAATTCTGCCATCCGATCATCTCTAAGGCCTGAGAAGATTGTCTTCCATGTAATAACCGACAAGAAAACTTATGCAGGCATGCACTCATGGTTTGCATTAAATCCCATCTCCCCTAGCATTGTCGAAGTGAAAGGAATTCATCAGTTTGACTGGTTGACAAGAGACAATGTTCCTGTTCTTGAAGCCGTTGAAAATCATAATGGAGTTCGAGATTACTACCACGGGAATCATTTAGCCGGTGCCAATCTCAGCGTTACCTCACCGAGAATGTTTGCCTCCAAATTGCAGGCTAGAAGCCCCAAGTACATATCACTGCTCAATCATCTTCGCATATACCTGCCTGAGGTAATCAGAAATTTTGTGGTATATGTACCTGTTCCTTTTTTTAGATTATATGGAACCAAACAGAGGGTTAGGATGCAACCGGAATGGTAATCTTGATATTTATCTACAGCTTGCCCAATTCCGTGAAGTTCTATTTAAAGATACTCCCGTCCCAAAATAAATGTCCACAATAGAAAGGACACACAGTTTTAGACATTAATAATTATATTACACCTTTTAGTTAACCAAATGACAACTTTACCCTTAATTAATACATCTATCTTATCAACTCTAAAATATTTGTGCATTAATTAAGGGTAGATTTGGAAATTTAGTTATCTATTTTGGAAATTGGACACTTATTTTGGGACAAACAAAAATAGAGATGTGGGCACTTTGTTTGGGACAGAGGGAGTGCTATAGTTTCAGTTTTAGCAGGCATTGTGTTGTTGTCCAAAGCATGCTGACAGATGTTGGAGTTTAGCAAGTTAAGGGAAAAGCTCCAGCCAATGAGTTTATTTAAAATCCAAATCTAGGAGATCTGTAGCTTGTTCATGCCTTCTCACATTTGCAGCAAAGAGAGATGCTATAGAGCGCACCAATTTTAATAATTTTAGTGGAATTCGGATATTTTGTATCAGTTCTCAGATTGAAACAAGTTGGCCAAGGTTTCCAGGATGTTAAAACATTACCAATTGGTACTAGATGCAGGAGGGGATATTTAGCTGAATGACCTCAAAATCTGAATTCAAGAGTCTAACCTCCAGTGTATTTCTAAGTTTCTACAGGACCCAACTGTTTTGAATCAGGGGCAGGTTAGATAAGATTATAGAGCTAAAAGAACATTTTAGAACGCTTGAAAACTCATTTAAGGTCATTTATCCAAAGGACCAATGCAGGAGTGATGCAATCACCGCCATTTTTTTGATTTGGCAGTTTCCTTATGTGAGTGATGATGGGATAAAATGTTAACGGGTTTGTAAATTTTAGTCTTTTGTTTTTGTACTTTTTTCCATTAATTCGGATTTGAAGCTGAATCTTTCTTCTATTATCTATCTCTGCATTGCTTTTTTCTATTTCTGATCACTTTACTTTGTGCAATGCTGATGCTGATGTTATTGATGCTAATTTTGCACAGCTCTTCCCGAACCTTGACAAGGTGGTTTTCTTGGATGATGATATTGTAATTCAACGTGATTTGTCTCCGCTTTGGGATATTGATCTTGGTGGAAAGGTTAATGGAGCAGTTGAAACCTGCAAAGGTGAAGACTCGTGGGTAATGGGTAAGCGATTCAAAATCTACTTCAACTTTTCTCACCCACTTGTAGCGAAGAGTTTGGACCCTGAGGAATGTGCTTGGGCTTTCGGGATGAATATTTTCGACTTGCGGGAATGGAGAAAGACTAATATAAGAGAAACATATCACGCATGGTTGAAAGAGGTAAGTGGGAAACATCATGAGTTTATTAATATGTTTATAATGTCCAGCAATAGTTTTTCTAGGATGAAAGAGATTTCCTTTAATTGGAATTGTTAACATATTTGCATCATAAAAAAACCGGGTTATCTAGTTAATAAGCTTCTCACAGGAATTTTTCAAATCCATAACATTCTGATAGGGCTGGCAATGCCTAAAAATCTGTTGGAAGGCCATGAATTTTAAAAAGCATTGTCAGGAGCTCATTTAGCTAAGGCGCGTTTGGTACACTGGGCAAAATAGAAAACGAATCATTGTTCCTTGTTTGGCAAAACTTTTATGTGGAACATACAGGAACAAAGTGGAATAGGCGTGTTCCACCCCATCCCTTGGAACAAGGTGGAACAGACCTATATTTTACCAATATAACCTTAAAATAAAACCTAATTCTCTTCTAAAACATCAAATACGCCTCCCTCTTTACATTTTATTCATTCTTTAAATTTTATTTATTGTATTTTATGCTCTTTAAACTTTCACTTTATTGTCCTCAAAATATTATTTTTATATAGTTTATGTAATTTATTAAATATTAATAATAATAAAATATTATATGAAAAGGTATATAATATAAATTGGAAACTACATAAATTTTGGTATCATTTTAATCATCTTGATATATGTTGTAAAAAATATTTATTTTATTATAATTTAATAAATTACATAAACTAGTCAAAATATATAAAATATATAAACAACTCATTAGCGGTAAATTGGTCATTTTATCTGTTTTGTCTTGTCCAGTTCTGTCTTGCCAAATGTTGAACAATTGTACTGTTCTGTCCTATCCTATCTGAATACCAACCGCACCCTAAATAACCCTATGGAAACCAGCATGCATGTGAAAGCCTTCCGAAGTACTCGAGTCCCGAATACCATGTTTATTTATGGCTTCTGTGCTTATGTAGCTGAAAGTAGAACCCAGCCATGTCTATTTTTTATAAGCAATCAAGTAATCACACAGAAACATATATCCCATTACCAGTTTTATATACATTCCAATCATAGTTGGGCGTCTTTCATTATATCTTATGTAGAGAAAAGTGTGCACTTGGAGTCTCAAATGTAGGTCGTTTCTGCTGTTTTTTGTTTGAGATATTATACGTACAAACAAATAACAATTTATAGGATATGGTGGTAAATGCGTAAGAAAAATCCATGAAAGTTGAAACATAGATCATGTTTGGAAAAATAACAGTTAAAGTTATCTAAGAGCGTGTCTAAAAAATAGGTCTTTCGACCAAGAAGCTACCTTTAAGTCCATCCAATGACCTCTACATGTATTTGTGATAACGCGTTTGCGTTGCACTCTGGCTATGGTGGTAGGGGGGGGGGGGGATCAAATGAAAATCGTAAATATTTTGAGATATTGGGAACCAAATATTCATGAAGAACGTCGCAATAGATATCCATCATGAAACTCTAGGATGTTCATGATAAAAATGCATAATATCATCAATGATGAAAATGCATGATATTTATTATAAATACTATTCATGAATATTTAGGGTTATTTATTGTTATTCATCATGAATATTTCATGAAATAGTTGGTTATCAGGTTCTCAAAATATACTTATGGTTCTCGAAATATATTTGTGTTATCAAAATATATTTATGGTTCTCATTTGAATTTCCCTTATCGTGTTAAATGCATAAGAAACATCCATGGAGCTTGAAACATATATTATGTATGGGAAAATAACACTCCGAGTAATCTAAGATAACGAATAGTGTCTAAGAAATAGGCCCTTCGACAAAGAAGCCACCTTTAGTTCCATCTAGTAAGGGTCTGTTTGTTAGCAGCTTAATGAGACTCGCAACTTATTCGATCAGTTATACATGATTATTTGGTAGTGGCTTAATGATATAGAAAGTGGCTCATCCGGTAGGTTTTGGAGGGGGAGCTACATGCAGAAAACCAAGTTTTTTCCACCTGCCCCACCTAATGAAAATACATGCTCTTTTCATCTATGAAAAAACCATCCAAAACAAAAATCTTCCGGATCTATACAGACAAATTAACCTACACCGACAACTTTACCCAAACAGGACATAATGGAAAACCAACCAAATAGCCTCTAAACCACCTTTAGGTGCATCTAGGCCTTGGGGATCCTCCCACAGATTGCCAGTTCGAGTCTCCTCAGGACCACTCTGTCGATTTTCCTGGATGTTATCTTCTGATCCCTATTGGATTAGTCGAGGGGTGTGCTTTTTCCGATTTAGGAGTACTGAGTAAACCATATATATCGTATCCACTGCTATCCAACAAATACGTTGTAAGATCCCACATTGGTTGGGAGGGGAATGAAAGTTGCCTTATAAGGGACTGGATACCTCATCTATCAGATGTGTTTTGAAACTGTGAGTCCAGGTGTGGATAAAACCGACAATATCTGGTACGATTAGCCTGGGATGTTACATAGGGATACCATTATAAACATTTGACTTTCTTGTTTGCAGAATCTAAAGTCAAACTTGACCTTATGGAAGCTCGGAACACTACCCCCGGCCCTGATTGCATTTAGAGGTCATGTTCAACCGATTGACCCATCATGGCACATGCTCGGGTTGGGCTACCAGCAAAACACAAGCATCGAGAGCGTAAAGAAGGCTGCTGTCATTCATTACAACGGCCAAGCAAAACCATGGCTAGAGATCGGGTATGAACATCTTCGCCCTTTTTGGTCCAAATACGTCAACTACTCCAATGACTTTGTCAGTAGTTGTCACATCTTGGAGCCGTAAAATCACATTGTGAACGGAAAAAAACCAGAATTTTTTGTCAAACATTCATTTGACACGATGGGGCTCGACACTGGACCTGCATTACTAGCAGCATTCTTTCGGTCTCCTTTCTTATTTCGGACAATATTTTTGACCCTCCTGAATGGGAGGGGCAATTTGGGTATACGTAAAAATCGATAGAATGAAATAATAGGAATTAAGTTTAAAAGATGGGATGAAGAAATGCTGTGTGCCAAATTAGCTTCAGAAGATGCATATCCTTCTCAACTTTTAGCCCCCAACTAGATGCAGAAAATGATATGATTCTTTATTCCCATATAAAGTGTTTCTTTTATATGTTATATATAATTTGTGTCGATTTCTAGGCCCCTAGACAGTTGAAATTCGGATCGGGGAACGTTATTTTTAGGTTATATGTCAGTGTACGATTATTCATGAGAAACATTTCAAATGTGCAGTAAATTCTTTTTGATCTCGGTTTCCTTTTCTGGTTTGTTGCATTGCATCTTGATATGAATACTTGAAGGTGCCTGATTGGTTTGAGTTTGGTTCCAAAGGTCAAAAGTACCAGGAGGTCCTAGGTTCAAATCCAAGGAGGAACAAAAATCCCCTTGTGGCCATGGAGGTTCAAATGCGGTGACTCCGACCTATCTGCAAAGCAGGTTGTCGTCCTGGGATTAGTCGACTCGCATAGCGGGTTGGATATCCAGGTTAATAAAAAAAAAATTGAAGATGGTTGATTTATTGGTTCTTGGAACTGTTTCTCTATAAATGATCCTGGTCTTTAGAAGAAGAAGAAAAAATAGCGATTGGTTGTAACCGATCGGGCTGGTCCCCTAACCGAACCGATTCGGTTTTTTATAGTAAATATATTAACCACATTCTTAATTCTTTGGATTCAAGCTATCTATGACCACAGACATTTCTGGAACACTTTTAACAGAGGAACAAATAGTCAATTTTAAAAGAACTTATTGTCAACCTCTTTCAGATATGAATCTATATGATTCAGAAGGGAAGAACTTGTATCAATATCTCAATTTTAATTCAAACACGAGTTTGATTCACGCTCCATGTTCTGAGAAATATTTACCATCTGAAAAGAGGAAAAATCAGAGTCTTTGTCTAAATTAATGCGTTGAGAAATTGAGATGTATAGAACTTTTCAACGAGATAGTGCTTATTCAATTCTTTCAAAGGTTGCGTTCAGTGAGAAGCATAAGAAGATATCTTCATTTTTAGATGTTGATGCACCAAGATGCATCAGATCCATCCTCGTATCAAACGTGATTTATGGATGAGTTTGAGATTAAAAGTGATCAAGGATCCAGATCCTTTCTTACGCATCTCATCTTAACTCTTTTTATCACACAATCCTTCACATATGTATGTGTATGACGGACGGGTCAACTAAAAGGCTAATTCATACGTGAATCTTTTATTCTTACATTCTCACAATATTTAGTTTTTTTATTTGAACATCTTTATTATATTACAAATCATTTTGTTATTCCTATAAATCTTTTAACAAATCCACTTAAAAATATCCATAAATTGAAAATATGAAGTACTCCATCCATATATATATACACACACATAGACTTGAGATTATGTGAGACTAAGGGTTTTTCGTGAGACCCATAAGACTAATTTATGTTCATTGATCAACTTTATAAGCTAATGATTTAATGATCTAAAATTACACGGTGACAATTTTGTGATTATTGAGAAGTCTCGTAGCGTTTATGAATGTTCATAATTTATATCTAATCCAGGGGTTGAGAATTGGTCTTACGGGTCTCACAAAAAACCCTTGGTCTCACATAATCTCAAGTCTATATATATATATATATATATATATATATATATATATATATTTTTTTTTTTTTGCTCCATAAAATTTGTTTTATTTATTTTTATCATAAAATATTTGTTATTTTATTTTTATTAAATTGTCACAATTAGCATGGTCTTGGATCATTTCAAGCCAACCGTGCTAAGATCAACTTATCCTCATATTAAGTTAGAAAGAGGAATATCTATATTATTTTATTATTTATTTAATGTGAATTTTAATTCTAAATCAAGAATATTAATTTAATTTAATTTTTAAAATATATAATACTTATCGTATTTTCTATTATATTAGTAATATTTTCAACGGTTATCTTGTATTTGAAAATGTCTATCACAAAAAATCTAAATATGAGGTTTTAAGAAATCGTATGTGAACTACAAGGGTGGTGTCTGATTGGTTTGAGTTTGAGTTCCAAATATCAAAAGGGCCTGGAGGTCTCAGGTTCAAATTCAATGAGGAATAAAAACCCCTTTGTGGCCACGGAGGTTCAAAGATGTGACTCCGGGCTACCTTCAAAACAGGTGGTCCTCTTGAGATTAGTCAGCTCGCATAGCGGATTGGATATCCAGGTTAATAAAAAAAAGTCGTATGTGTGCATTAATATATTGTAAACTTGAATTTTATGAGATTTTAAGAACATCCGATAAATGTTTTACAATATAGTAAAGATAAAGCGTTTGGGTAAACTTGTAAATGAGATTTCTAAATCCAATATTTATACGATTTCAATTCCAAACTTTCTTTTAAACCAAACATGAGATTAAAATATAATTTAAAGGGCTATTTGACAGTTGCTGAATGATTTGAAGCAAAATGATTAAGTGGTCAAAATGATCAAAAAAACTCTTATAATGTAGTGCAAAATGAAATATAATTGTTTGGTAATTATTCAAAATGAAATTAAGATGCTTAATGGTTAAGAGAACTCAAGATACAAAATCATTTACAGGTTTTTAGAACCATTAGGAGGTATATATAATTTTTTTCTGCCAAACAAGATTTACTTCTTAGCGATTCAAAAAACTTGTCTTTTAATGAAACTACAAACAACCCCTAACTCCAAATCTCAAACCCTAAAAAAATTTCTTTGTATTACTTTATGAAATATTTTTTTTTATTAACCTGGATATCCAACATGCTATACGAGTCGACTAATCCCAGAACGACCATTTGCTTTGCGGGTAGTCTAAAGTTACCCCATTTGAACCTCCTTGGCCATAAGGGGTATTCATCACTGGATTTGAACCTAACATTTGAAACTTAAACTCAAACCAATCAAACATCATCTTTCTGGTTAGGTTCTTTCTTTCACCCATCCCATCATCATGTTTTCTTTTTGAACACTTTAAATCCATCAAAAATATTCCATAAAATAACACAATTTCATAAGTTGAAAAGAATATGAATAAAGAAGTTGGAGAAATGGACGAGGAGAATAAAATATGTCGATTTTAGCACAAAATTCGGAGGAGTATTCTAAGGAAAGAGGTCGGCACATTCGACGACACATTTCCTACTCTCACCAATTGCTATTTGCTCCCATAATACTCCCTCAATTTAATTCCCCAAATTTTCCCCCTTTTCTTTCCATTCACACGATTCATATGAACCTTCTCTATTTATTCATTCAATTCATCATCGATTTACAGAACACCAATCGTCTCTGTTCTTCATCGCTGAATTTGGATTCGATTTCTTGATCCAAGTAAGCCCAATTTCTTTGATCATCGTCAATCGATGTATGTGTTAATGGGATTTTGATCTTGATTTTGTTTGTAATTTTGACTTTGACTTGTTCTATGGATGTAAGCCACTTCAGAAAATTTTAGCAGATTAGGGATTTCTTTTGGTGGTTGTTGACTTTTTTTTTTTTTTTTGGGATTGTTTTTGGTGATCCAGTTGTAGATTTCACTAACCCAAAATCAAAAGGTTTGATGGTGATTGAATCTGAATCTTGATTTATAGATTTAACCCACTTGAGATTTCTAGTAGGTGGTGTGTTCTTGGGTGGTTCATGGTTGTTGACTTTTCTTCAGGGGTTGATTTTGGATGATCTAGTTGATCCTTTCAGTGATTCTTTGATCTTATTGAAAAACCCATATGAAAAATTTTGTGGGATTTTGTTTTTGCTGAAAGATAGAGAAACCCTCTTGGGAGAATTTTAAGTAGATGATGTATTGTTTAGTGGTTGTTGACCTTTTCTAGGGTTCATTTGGTTGATCCAGCCATTCATTACCTTTTCTTGAACTATAAAAACCAGAAATTCTGGTGATTCTTGCCCTCGTTATGAGTAGATTTGATCGAATCATGCTAGCGATTACATCTGTTTCATTTGGTGATTTGTTCTTCGGAATTTGGTTTTTCTTGAATTGATCATCTATCAGGCAAGAAAAATGTTGTTTTCTGATGTTGAATTTGATCTTTTCAGATTGCAGATTGAGGGTTCCAATTGGTGGTTATAGATCACACTCGAAACCTCTTTGTATAGCTTTTTAGGTTATCTTATTGAGTTTGTAAAGATTGGTTAGCCACTATTCACAAGTGAAGATTTTGGGTGTTTAGATACCGAAAAATTCCATCTGTTCAAAGTGGAATTATGTCTGGAGTGCAAGATTCGTTGGAGATCAGGTTTCGTTTGATTGATGGATCGGATATTGGTCCCAAGAGCTTTCCAGCGGCTGCAAGTGTTGCGTCCTTGAAGGAAAGCATCCTTTCTCAATGGCCGAAAGGTTAGTGTGTTTACGTGAACTACTGATATTGGTTGGTTTTCCATTAAGTCCTATATGGATAAAGCTTTCTGTGTGGATTAATTTGTCAGTATAGATTGCGAAAGTTTTTGTTTGGGAGAGTTTTTCCATAGATGCAAGGAGCATGTTTTTTAATTGAGAGGGGGAGGTTTGGAAAAAAACTTGGCTTTCTGCATAAAGCTCCAGCCTAAAAGCTTACTGAATTAGTCATTTTCTATATCTAAGCCACTACCAAACGGTTATGTATGGCTGATTGAATAAGGTGTGAGTGTCATTAAGCTTATTAGGCTGCTAACAAATGGACCCTTAGGCACCTAACCAAACGGACCCAGTATGTCCCAACTGGAGGTGGGGTTTGAGAGGGGTAAAGATGTATGCAGACTTGAACTCTGCCCATAAAATTATGTCCCATTCGGAGATGGGGTATGTGAGGGGTAAGATGTATAAGATTCATGTAGACCTAACCTCTGCTCAAAAGAGAAGAGCGGTTATTCCAATGAAGACCTCTACTTCATTTAGGCACCTACGAGACTTAAGGGACTTTATTACCCAAATGCTTACCTATTAAGCGCTTATCAGTGAGAGTCTACACTCTCATTTACCTTACTAGGTAAGATTCTAGTCAATAAAACTACATCGTATGCAACAATATGTCCGATAAGTGCTAACCGGGTAAGAGTCGTCACCCTTAACTTACAAGGTAAGACGCTCGGTCCTTGTCGTCGCTCTTACAATAAAACAAAGGGTCATCGCCCAGTGATATCATTCTGGTTACCGATAGATCCCAACCTCGCTATAGGTCGAAGTTGAGGAGTATAAACAAAGAGCACTTTCTAGAAGTTTCATCTACAAAGTCTCCGTTTTTAGTGTTTTCTTTAACGACTAAAGTGGGAGAATCGTGTTTTTTTATGGTTTACAGAGAAAGAAAACGCTCCAAGAACGGTGAAAGATGTAAAACTAATTAGTGCCGGAAAGATATTGGAGAACAACAAAACGGTCGGAGAATGCAGGAGTCCGTTGTGTGATGTCCCCGGTGGAGTTACGACGATGCACGTTATTGTTAGCCAACCACCTCAAGAAAAAGGTAAGCTTTTCGTCCCGAAAACGTGATATTTCTCGTTGTTCTTGTTGCCATATCGTATTCATATGATCCTTAGTTTTTTTTTGTGTGTGTGGAAATCTCGACTAACTTTCAGAAGCGAAATGTTCTCGCAAAATCCGCTTTTTTCTACTTCCTCTCGTCCCAAATTAAGCGTTCACATTTCTATTTTAGCTTGTTCCAAAATAATTATCCGCTTTCAGAAGTAAGTGGATACTTTTCCAATTCTACCCTTAGTTATGAGACAAAGAAATTCAGTACTTCCTCTATTATTGAGGGTAAAATTGTCCTTTAGTTAATTAAAAAGTGTTAATAATTACACATTTCTTAGACTGTGTCCCTTTTTTCTTGTTGACATCATGTGCGCAACGAAAAAGGGACATAGTTTTAGAAATGTGCAACTAATATACTTTTTAATCAACTAAATGACAATTTTACCCTTAATAATAGAGGGAATAATGAAATTCTTTGTCTCATAATTGAGGGTAGAACTGGAAAGTAGACACTTTTGGAAGTTGACATTTATTTCGGGTTGGTAACTAGTTTGACCCCAAACTCGGATTTTCTGATTGAACTACTCTTATACTAACGTAAAGACTCGTTTTCTCATCACACAACAGATACAAAAGTAAAAAGCGACCCGAAGCAGCACAAATGCGTGTGCGTTATATTATGAGAAGCAACTCCAAGCGGGTCGTATTTGCAGGTCGGTTGTTCACATCGCTTATTTTTCTCGTGCTTTATTTATCTTTATGCCTGTTACTGTTACAGTGGCCGATCCAGGAAATTTGTTGATGGGGTCGGAATTTAAGTTTAGAAATCTTTAGGGGTCTAAAGAGAAAATATATTCATAAAAATTGAAACTTTATAGACGAGTATCCACTCAAAGGTCAGGTTTGCATACATCTCACCTCTCTCAACAGGAGCAGACCTACGAAGACCCCAACAGGGTTTCGTGTAATCGCTCAACAGATTTTCACAAGTACAATTTTTGGGGGTATGAAAGGTGTACGCGCCAAACTTTAAGGGGTGTTTTGGGATATTAGAAAATACAACAGACATCAACTAAAGACCTCTGATTCGCCTTAAAAGTGCACCCACTCAGCAAAAGTTCTGGATCCGCCACTGCCTCCCAGACACCTTAAAAGTAGGATCAGGAAGGAATGAGATGTATGCAGACCTAACATCTACTCAAAGTGCAGAGCAGTTGTTTCCACTTTATAAGGAGTACTTTGTACCAGTTGCTCTGCATTTTCTTTGGTAGAGGTTAGTTCTGTCTAAATCTCGCTTCTACCATACCTACTTTTCAGTGGGATCTACTGTGTCAGTTTGGTTTTGTTCAAATTGCAACGATTTATTAATTTTTAATTGATTTTGATACTAAATTTACACATTTTTTACTGTTTTTAAGCAGATAAAATGATGCAGGATTTGGTATACATGTTCATGAATGGGTGGCAATGAAGTTTATAAAGATTAAAAAAAGGCAAATTGGTGAGAAGAAAAAGAAACATACTTATTTACATAAGTCATTGTTTGGGGGATCATGCCCTTTTTTCCAGAGCTGTAATTTTCATTTCCAGAGCAATGTTGTTATAAGGACTTGTAATTTATACAATGAATGTTGGATATTGCTTTGGATTTGGGAATTTTAGCTCTGGAAATACGAAGAACACGATTTATAGTTTTATATCAAAGTCAATGTCTTGCATATTTTTTTTTTGTCAAATTTTGAGAATTTTAATTACAAACAAAGATTTTTTTTTTCAATTTATTGGTGTTTTTCCTTTTCATTTATGGGTTAGTTTTTGTGGGTGCAAAATGGTTGGGGTGTGGATTGTGCGGGTTTGGGTTTGGGTTTGGGTGGGCAAACCAAAAATCTGATTGGATTTCGGATATGGAAACGAAGCCCCAAGTTTTGGGTGTCGGATTACTTTGGGTCACCAAAGCTTGGGTATAGTCATATGCAAAACAAATTACATGCATATGTATACATGTACATACATATATATATATTTATATATATATATATAGAGGTGGGTTATTATGCAACCCTTTACATTTGTACAACCAATATAACTCAATCTTAACTGTTCATTTAATTTGATGAATATTGATTTCATAAAAGTTTTGATTTTTCCTTATATAAAGTATTGATCATAATTAATGAATCTTAGTCATATTTTATAAATATTCAAATCATAATAAATGAATTCTTATCGTTTTCATAAATATCTCAATTGATTGGGTTGTATTGATTGTACAAATGTGATGGGTTGTATTTGAAATGATATATATATATATATATATATATATATATATAT